TCTTTTCTTGGAATCAAACAGCATCCCCTTGGAATTTGGGGCGTCTCCCTTTTCCCTGGATTAAAAACCGGAATTCCTCCTAAGGGAGGAAAGGAAGCGTGGCCAGAGTGGTGAGGGCTCGTAGAGGCACCTGGGCTGACCAAAGAGGGAGGAATTTGTGGGATCTGACACCGAAAGATCCCCCTTTTAAAATGTGGGATTTATTTGGATTTCTCCAGCAACAAAGAATTGGAATTGGAATTGGAATTGGAATTGGAATTGGAATTGGAATTGGAATTGGAGAAGCTGCAGAGGACAAAGCCCTGGGAGGAGGGATCAGGGCACGGTTTGAGGGTCAGAATATTCTTTTTAATTCATGTCTTGACCCCAGAGATCTAAATTTCCTTCCTGCCTTGGATCCCGGCTGCCTCTCCTGCTCCGGAATCCCCTCGTGTGCATCCCTGGGATGTCCCAAAGAGCCCCACGGTGACCTCCAGGATCCCCCGGAGCCCTCCAGGAGCAAATCCTGCCCTAATTTCCCAGGGAACGAGGACTTACTGACTGCCAGGACAAAGAGGGCAAAGATCCCGACCACCATCCAGAGCCTGAGCCCCCAGATCACGACGGTCTCCGAGGTCACGGGGTCCGGCTTCTTCTTGGGGGGCTCCGTGGTGGCCTGGGAGAGAGGGACACAGGGAATTTTCATGCTCACGAAGGAAATCTTTTTGCTGTTCTCAAAGTGCCAGCTTTTTCTAGAGAGATCATTTCTGTGGCTCAGGAGGGAATTTCTCCTATTTATTCCTTATATTTTTATTTTTTCCTTATATTTTTTCTCATATTTTTCTTATTTTTTTAATATATTTTTTCTTATATTTTTTCTTACATATTTTTCTTATGTATTTCTTATATATTTCTTATAATTTTTGTATATATTTCTTATATTTTTACATATTTTTCTTATATATTTCGTATATTTTTTCTTATCTATTTCTTATGTTTTTATGTATTTTTTCTTATCTATTTCTTACAATTTTGCTTATCTATTTCTCATATTTTTAACATATTTTTCTTAT